CCAAGTTTTCCTGAATTAATATATTTTCTCTAATTTTTTTCTTATGAAATGATAAAGCTACCTATTTCATTATGTATGAGGTCATTTTTTTTTATTGGAGTTAAAATTAACGTAGACATATGACCGAACCTAACCAACCCTACCTAACCTAACCTAACCTATCTTTATAGGTTAGGTTAGGTTAGGTAGCCGAAAAAGTTAGGTTAGGTTAGGTTAGGTAGGTTAGGTAGTCGAAAAACAATTAATTCATGAAAACTTGGCTTATTAGGCAAATTGGGCCTTGCATAGTAGGCTGAGAAGTGCGTTCTGGCTACTAGATACGACATATATATATATATATATATATATATATATATATATATATATATATATATATATATATATATATATATATATATATATATATATATATATATATATATATATATATATATATATATATATATATATATATATATATATATGTATGTATATATATATGTGCTCGAATCCATGGTGCATAAAGCAGCTTTATACTTCCCACCAGGATCAGCAGGTGGGTTCACAGGACTAAGACCCAACCACATCGAACAAATGCTCAACCCTGCACTGGGAGACATTGCACAGGGCCTCCTGGTGGAACTAACTAGATTCACCATCACATGTCTAGCTGGCAACATACCAGAGACCATACGGCCTCTCTTTGTTGGCGCTATCCTCTGTGCCCTGAGGAAAAAAGATGGAGGAATCAGACCGATAGCTGTGTGTAATTCACTCAGGCGTCTCGTCGCTAAGGCTGCTGCTCGAGCAGTTAGTCAGGCAGCAGCCGACATGCTGAAGCCAAAACAGCTTGGATTTAGCATTCCCCAAGGGTGTGAGGCAGCGGCTCATGCAGCTAGAGCCTACATTGCCAACATTACGGATGAAAATGCCCTGATAACGCTGGACTTCAAAAATGCTTTCAATTTGGTTAGAAGGGATGCAGTACTCAGTGCGGTTCATCGCCTTTTTCCTTCCCTCTACCCGTTTGTAAACTCATGTTACAGCAGTAATCTAACTCTGCTTTTTGGGGAACATGAAATTCAATCACAAAAAGGTGATTCAAAGGTGAAAGGAGCAAGGGGGTCACAGGGTGACCCCCTTGCTCCTTTTCTTTTCTGCCTAGTCATCAAGGAAGTCACCGATAAGCTGTCTAGTGAGCTCAATATTTGGTTTTTGGATGAAATTACTCTAGCCGGCTTCCCAGCCTCACTCTTGGACGACATAAGAATAATTCAGGAGCAAGGAGCAAGTCTAGGCCTCACCCTGAACCCTTCCAAGTGCCAAATAACCTCCACCAACCAGCACATAATAGAGCAAATAAGGGTTGTTTTGCCTGACATTCATACAACGAACCCTGAGGACAGCACACTCCAAGGTGCTCCTCTTGGAAGGAATGCCATTGACGAGGTCCTTGGTAAGAAGATCACTGGCCTGAAGAGGATGAACGAGAGGATTGAAGACATCGATGCCCATGATGCATTTTACCTCATCACCAGATGCTTGTCCCTCCCCAGACTGACCTACTTTCTAAGATGTTCGCCATCTTTCAACAATATTAAATTAGAAGAGTACGACAGCTTGCTGAAATCAACACTAGAAAAACCCCTCAATCTTTCCCTCAGCGACTCACAGTGGAAACAGGCCTCCCTTCCTGTCAGACTCGGGGGCCTTGGCGTGCGCACAGCAATACAAATTGCTATACCAGCGTTCCTGTCCTCTTCGGTGGGGTCTGACAACTTGGTGAAGGAAATCCTACTTGAGCACCTATTTCTAGGAAAGGGTACATGATCCCAGCTTCACAGACTGCACAACCAAATGGGTCTCTCTCGCAGGACCAGCACCCCAACCACCACCTTCTGAAGCCCATAAGCAATCCTGCTGGGATCACCCCATTGTCGACCCTGAAGCTGCGACTTTGCTAGAAGCTGCGACAACACCACATGACACTGCCCGACTTAGAGCTGTAGCAGCTCCCCATGCAGGTGACTTCCTATTAGCAACCCCAACGTCAGCAACCGGCACCAGTCTCACACCGCAGGCCCTCCGAATTACCGTGGCTCTCCGCCTCGCTGCCCCAATCCACACCGAATACAGGTGTATTTGCGGCGAGGCAGAGGCCGACAGATACGGACGGCATGGCCTTCTCTGCCAAAGGACAGGAGGATGGCATGCAAGACACGGCGAGGTCAATGACATTATTAAGAGAAGCCTTACCACAGCCGGTTGTCCAGCAGAGAGAGAGCCCCGTTATCTAATGTCCCGCAACTCTGATGAGCCGTCAATCGCCCAGACGGAATCACGGTGAACCCCTGGAAGAATGGTAAACAGTTGGTGTGGGACTACACTTGCATTTCAACTTTAGCTAACACCTATGTTGACTTCAGTGCTACACAAGCAGGAGGTGCTGCCAATCACCGGGAAGCAGCCAAGTCACGTAAATACAGAGACCTTGAGCACCACTACAATTTTATCCCCATTGTCTCAGAGACACTTGGTGCCTGGGGTAAAAGTGATGCTAGTTTTTTGAAGAAGTTGGGGTCCAAGCTAACTGAAACAACTAGAGACCCTAGTGCTGCCAGTTTTCTTTTTCAGCGCCTTAGTGTGGCAATCCAGAGAGGAAATGCTCACTGCATCCATGGATCCTGCCCGCCATCTGAGGAGCTGGAGGAGCTGTTCAACTTGTGACAAGCAGCCTTGTTCCCTGCATGTAATCAATATTGTAACTTTTTTTGTGTAATGACATTTTCAAATAAAGTTAGATAAATATACACACATACCAAAAGGATAGGGGTGGTAGGAGAAGAAAATATCAAAGTGTTCAGTGAGGATCCACAAGGTCTTCTCTGAGTACTCTTTATTTTCTTCTCCGAGGCTATGGGTCCCTACACTTGCACCAGAGGTGGTACCTCTTCTAAGTTTATATATATATATATATATATATATATATATATATATATATATATATATATATATATATATATATATATATATATATATATATATATATATATTTATATTTATATATATCACTAAGAACTCTTTGACCCGGTCAGGATTCGAACCCATGCCGTCCAGGATCACCCCTAAACGTACACAGTACCGTGACCACCGCACCAATGATCGTCTATATATAAATATATATATATCGTTTAACAACCAGGCACCCATTTTACTCTTGGGTAAACACAGTCTACAGTTAAGGATTGAAGCCCAGTAAATCCTGACCGGCCAGGATACGAAGTCAGGACAAAGCACTCGCGATAAGCCAAGCAAGTGTCTTACCACTACACCATGGGAACTGACCTTTTTGTGCCTGTAGGATTGACTTGGAGCTCTTGGACCCTGCTTTTCTAGCCCCTGGCTGTCTAATGCAATGACGTCTGGTCTATTTATCTATTATACCTACTTTTAAAGTTATGGAGCCGGTCGGGCGAGCGGACAGCACGCTGGACTTGTTATCCTATGCTCCCGGGTTCGATCCCGTACGCCGGCGAGAAACAATAGGCAGAGTTTCTTTCACCCTATGCCCCTGTTACCTAGCAGTAAAATAGGTACCTGGGTGTTAGTCAGCTGTCACGGGCTGCTTCCTGGGGGTGGAGGCCTGGTCGAGGACCGGGCCGTGGGGACACTAAAACCCCGAAATCATCTCAAGATAACCTCAAGAAGGTAGTATATTTAACCAGCTCCTTTAGGTCAATCCATTTACTCACTACCCATATACTGAACGAAAACGTTCTAAGAATTCTATGATACCTCTGAGCCTCAAGCTTCCATTCATGCCCTCTTATTCTATTGGTATTCAGTGTAAAAAATTATTCTGACTTCATCCTGTCAATCCTTCTAAATATTTTATACATCTGTATCATATCCTCCCTTTTTGCTCCACCTTTATAATGTTGTCAGGTTTAGTTACTTCAATCTCTCTTCGTACCCTTACAGCTCTGGGACGCGTCTCGTTCTAAACTTCTGCACCTTTTCGAGCTTGCTTATGTGTTTATAGATGCGGACTCTACGATCGTATTTTAGCATTTCAGTCTCCTGACTCCTGATCCCATTTACATCACCTTACACTTGCTGGTGTTGAACTATAGCTGCCATTTCCTGGACCAGCTATATCGCCTGCTCAAATCATCCAGGAGAAACCTACAATTCTCGTCTGTCTGAGCCCTCTTCATTAGTTTTGCATCATCTGCAAACATCGACATAATAGACTCAACTCCTGCAGTCAAGTCGTTTAAATAAATGAGGAATAGTATGGGTCGCAGTATCGATCCCTGAGGAACCCCGCTTGTTACTCTACGCCAGTTGGACTCCTCGCCTCTCACTGTCACTCTAACACCTGTCAGGTAATTCCTTACCTGACAGATGTTAGGTAAGGATTCCTTTCCTGACAGAAACGCACTACCTATGTTAGTGCGTTTCTGTCTACTCCCGCCAACCTCTCAAATTTTTATAGAAGCCTTCTTTGTGTGGTATTGTATAATAGGCTTTTTAACAGTCCAGACATAAGCATTCTTCCCAGCCTTCTCTGTCTTGCCATATTTTCGTTACCTAATCATAAAACTCCAGGAAGTTGTCAGGCATGATTTCCCTTCTCTAAAGCCATGTTGTTGTTTGCTTACAAACGTAATTCTTTTTATGTGTGCAACTAGTCTTAACCTCATAATTCTTTCCCGTACTTAACAAGAGATGCTTGTGAGTGACACTGGTCTGTAGTTAAGTGCATCTTCTCTATCTACTTTCTTGTAGATTGGTTCCACATTTGCCTTCTTCCAGCAGCTGGGCAATTTCCCCTTTGTAAGTGAATCATTAAAGATTAGTGCTAAAGGTACGCCAAGGGCCTGTGCTGCTTCTTTTAACATCCATGGTGATACTCTATCAGACCTAGTAGCTTTAGTTCCATAAAGTGATATTAGTTGTATCTTTACTTTCTTCTCTGTTATTTAACATTTATATTTATTTATAAATATTTAAAATTTTCTTTTTAGGGGGCTGCTTCCTCATCTAGCTCTGGAAGCTGTTCAGGCTCAATAGTGAGTACTCCATGGAAGTTGGCATTGAGTTCCTCATAAATATCTTTATCTTTTCCTGTATACTGGCCTACCCTTTATACTACATATAAATATGTAGTCTTTAGAGATGGCTCTAATTGGAAGTTATATGATTAAGTATATGTATTTAACATCCTTATGGAAAACCTCGTTACCATGACATTTTCAGAAGGGGTTAAATTGCTAAGCTATGCTGATGATATAGCATTAGTCATTACAGGTCCTTCACTTCTAAATAAAGCACAAGGTGCATTAGATAAAGTTACATCTGAATGCAGTGTTTTAGGGCTAAAAGTATCTGCACATAAGTCTAACGCAATGAGACTAGGCGGCAACACTCCAGACAGGCACCTACTCATTCAACCCGTTCTCGCAAATTCGTAAAGTCAATATTGACTTATTAACTACGTGCATAGGTGATATACTAAACATAATAGATACCCTTAAAAAGATTCATAGAAAACACCGACCTTACCTAACCTTGTTAGTATCTTAAGATAAGCATCTTATTGCTTCGTAATTACAATTATTACTTAACCTATACCTATTATAGGTTGGGTAATAATTGTAATTACGAAGCAATAAGATACTTATCTTAACATACTAAGTAGGTTAAGTAAGGTCGGTGTTTTCTATGAATCTTTTTAAGGGTATCTATTATGTTAAGTATGTCACCTATGCACATATTTAATAAGTCAATATTGACTTATTAAATTTGCGAGAACGGGTTGACTCATTCAAGACATTGACCTTCAGTGGGTTAAACAATATCAATATCTCGGAGTGTGGATAGATTCTAAAATAACATTCAACAAGCAAATTCAATATCTGAAGGAGAAAGTAAAATCACGACTAAATATAATGAGAGCAATCACAGGGCCCCGTCTAGGAGCGGAACACAAAGTGTAAAAAATGTTTTACATACACACCATTCGTTCCCTAGTTGATTATGCAGCGCCTGCCTTACTCACCTTACTTACTTTGGTGAGCCGGTGGCTGAGCGGACAGAACACTGTACGCGTGATCCTGTGGTCCCGGGTTCGATCTCGGGCGCCGGCGAGAAACGATGGGCAGAGTTTCTTTCACCCTGATGCCCCTGTTACCTAGCAGTAAATAGGTCCGTGGGAGTTAGTCAGCTGTCACGGACTGCTTCCAGGGGGTGGAGGCCTGGTCGAGGACAGGACCTCACGGGCACTAAAAAGCCCCAAAATCATCTCAAGAAAACCTCAAGATAAGATAACCTCACTCTTTCTCCTGGTCAGTGGGCAAACGTTGAGGTTATTCAAAACCATGCAATGCGAGTCATAACAGGATCTCCCAGATGAACTAAAATACTGAACCTAAGACTAGAAACCAAGCTAACGTCGATTGAAATAAGGGTAAAAGGGATTGCTGCATGAATGCTGACCAAGATATTGACTTCACAATCACTGAGAGGGGTGTCGACGAAATACATGCAGACTTTGTTATGCAAGCCCCTTGTGAATCTTCGCCAGCAGACTTTAAGATATGGTTCTTGAAGGAAAAAAAAACAGACAAATCCTCATCTGCTACGTAATATTACACAGATGCTTATAGAAGCAAACTTGGCATCTGACAGCTTCACATACCTCACAGATGGATCAGTAGACCAGCAGGGACAAGAAACCGGAGCTGCAGTTAAAGCAGGAAACTCTGTAAACAGTTGGAGACTCTCAAATGGGTGTTCGACTTTACAAACAGAGATGCTAGCAATTCAAAAGGCTTTGGAACATACTCGTGCTGAATACCAACAACATGTTATCATACTTACAGATTCGAGAACAGCCACTGAAACCTTGCAACGAGAACACATACGCGATAACATTTATCTGATCACAAATGTCATATCATTAATGCAGACACTCAAACGACAAGGCCGACGGGTACTTATCAACTGGGTGCCAAGTCATGTGGGAATAATAGGAAATGACTGCAGACGAAGCTGCAAAACTTGCACCTAAGAGAAGAAATGTAGACATTTACATACCACAGAGTCTATCACAGATTAAGAAAGTAATTAGAAACAGAGCAATGCAAAAGATGTTCAGTGACCACAACACAGCAGTTGCAACATCAGGATCTGCGGGTTGGTACAAGAATTCAACCAACTACGAACCACTTATTTAGATGAAAGGGAGCAGTAGAACAACAGAAGTACACTTACTTCGCAACAGGCTTGGATACCAATGTGCATGGGAAATAGGCTTACAGGTTCCGGAAGATGAGAGGAAATGTCAGCACTGTGGAGAAATGCCCGACAGACCACTGGAACATTATCTAACATAGTGCACAGTTACAAACCCAATAATATATCAACTTAGATTCAAAAGAGCAGAAGAAGTTGTTAAACACATGGGGCAAAATCTTACTGAAGCGACCATACGAGTCATAAATACTCATACTCCGCCCAAGTAAAACAAATAAGCAACACTTAGTGACCTAGCCAAAGGCTTAGGGCCTATGCAGGAATATCCGTGAAAAATATATGAATATGAAGTATTGACTGTAAGGTAGCAGGTCGTGACATGATCAAGTATATAAAGTATTAACAGTATGGCTGGTGTATAAGGTAAGGCCTGTGTTATTTTACTCTTCCTGGAAACATCACTGCAGGCTAAATAATCCTTAATATGTTATGCTATAAGAGCCAGACAATAGGCTTGGAATATAGTGTTTCCGGGTGTACGATACCTGTCTTTTAATGAGTGTGAGCTCTCATATTTCAGTATTCCTACTATGCCAGTGAGCTCCTATCTCTTTCTGTGTGTCTGTCTTCTCTGTTAACTTCATAAATTATTCTAATATGTGAAACATAATAATACATCAATAATATTGTATATATATATATATATATATATATATATATATATATATATATATATATATATATATATATATATATATATATATATATATATATATATATATATATATAAATATATATATATATTTATATATAAATATATATATACCCTTGTTCGTTACACTATGCTATCCTGAACACAACCCTAACTATGTAATCTATGTAATCAGGGGTACCGAGGGTACCACTAATAACTGTAACGTGTAGTTGTGCTAGGCCCAGTATAAGCCTGACTCCTACAGCGTGTAGTAGTGCTAGTCCCAGGAAATCCCTGACTCCAAGTACATGCATGGCAATAAACAAATAGATCAAGAATCCTTGCACTAGATAACCAACCACTTGAAAGGTGTGCTCGTAGAGCTATAGTCCGATCCTGCAGGCACCAAAAGGTTTGTACAAAATGAACCATCGTAGGCATGAAATCCACTACTGTGATATGAAGCACTTGCATCATCCTAAGAAACCACTCACGTAGAACAGCGTCAAAGACCTTGCTGACGTACTTTTTTCAGCATCATATTTAGTACTTTTATAATCTACAGTTAATGTTTCCAGGAACTTTCTAACACTCAATGTGAATATTTTCCAGCAAGAGTTCTCTCTCATTTTTAGATTACTGTAACTACTACGTTAGTAAGAGTGATACTAATTCCGATTAATTTATTTAATATACCTGTAAGTGGCTCACTTAGCACTTGCTTGAATAATTTAGAACTCTACTGAATGCCTTGTCAGGATCAGATTTTTTTCGGTTAAAACTTCTAAATCTGTATAATTGGTTTCCTCATTGTAGGGGAAGGGAAACCTGTTTGGTTTATCGAGGTCTCCCTGTACCAACCTCTAACCTTCCCCAGGATGCAACCCAAACAATTGTTTAACTCCCAGGTATCTATTTATTGCTAGGTCAACAGGTACACAAGGTGAAGGGAAACATTTTCCAAATGATGACCTAACCACACCCCAAAAATTGAAGAAGCGACGACGTTTCTCTCCGTCGTGAATCAATATTATTGACTTGAGAATGATAACCATTATCACTGACTTGATAATCTTCAAGGACGGACTGAGATGTCGTCGATACTTAATTTTCTAGTTTGGGATTAGACCAAAATATTTTTTAGCCACGATATTGTGACTCATCGTCTCCTGTTCTAAATGCTTCTGTCCGGCTGTGAAAACTAAATCAGGGACTTGTCCGGTGTTCCCTGACATACTAGATTACTTCATTAAGTAAATTTTAGAGATCAGGAAAGAGTTGTTTATTATTTTGCTAATTTCATCCTCACATCTATTGGTTTATGTTAAACTGCTCCTAATATGCATTTCGAAAACCTGAGTCCCTAGTAATATTATTATTTCTAGCGCAGCTCTTCCAGATGATAGCAAACATGGTTTCTCTATTATACCCATTTCGTAATGTTATAATTGTCTCTTTATCGCCAGGACCAAATCCAGAATATTGTTTCTGGCGTAGTCGTAACAAACTGTGCCAGGTGGGAGCTATTCGATCACTTCCAAGAAATCTTCTGCTTTTCAGTTACTTGTTTTATATGTCCAATCTATTCTTCCGAGATTAAAGTTTCAAAAATAAACACACACATTATAGCATCTTGATGCCTTTTTTTTATCTATTTCCAGATAGATTTACTGACTAATTTATTTAGTCAAATACTTTAAATGAGTTTCATATTTCGATCATTCACTTATCTCAATTTTTGTTTTTGTATATATGATTTTATGTCTCTTACACTGTACTTCAGATCATTTTTCATATAGATAGTAATTCATGATTAATATCTATATTTTTATAGATTTTAGAGATATTCATGATTACTATCTATAATTCATCCTCTTTTTATATCTGATTTGTTAACATAAAAATATGATAACCCTTGATCTGGTCCTCGACCAATAGGTCAATCAAGTCGATATTCATCCATGTTTCACATGTTTCAGTGAGTGCTATTATATCTAATTGTTAAAAACACAAAAATGCTCTGTCACCCTACTTTAATTAGTAGGGTGACAGAACAGTATATATATATATATATATATATATATATATATATATATATATATATATATATATATATATATATATATATATATATATATATATATATATATATATATATATATATATATATATATATATATATATATATATATATATATATATATGTATGTATATGTAGATGCCTATTCTGTCCCTTGAAATATAAGCTTCAGTTCTTGCATTCACAGTATTCTTGCTAATGTAGGGGTCCCAGTTATCTATGAATGGTATTGCATTACTTATGCAATACTCTCATGCTGGCGAGGAACTGAATACACGTTAATGCAATAACTCAATTCTTATTCGCAGATGACGTTAATGAGAGTGTGTGTGTTGGTGGCGGTTCTGGTGGTAGGCGCCAATGGAGACTTGGCACCCCCTGAGAGGTCGTATAAGATCCTCATGCTTCTCCCCGTCTCTGCCAATAGCCACAGGACCCTCTTCATGTCCCTCGCTGAGGCTCTGGCTGACCGAGGACACAAGGCAAGACCTAGTGGTCTGATTCTTTTGGTACCAAATAATATCAGCAAAATGATTAAATATATTATTTTACAACAGCTAATAAATTTTGAAAAAAACTGACAGTACTCTGATAAAGTAAATGGAGAAGATTTGTTCATTTAAATACTCATAATCTACATTTATATGAGAGAATATCCATGTTTGTGCAAGATTAAAGGCCAGCCAATTGGGGTTAGCGTCACAGAACGCCATCCCCAATTATATATATATATATTTTTTGAGATATATACAAGAGTTGTTACATTCTTGTACAACCACTAGTACGCGTAGCGTTTCGGGCACGTCCTTAATCCTATGGTCCCTGGAATACGATCCCCTGCCGCGAAGAATCGTTTTTTCATCCAAGTACACATTTTACTGTTGCGTTAAACAGAGGCTACAGTTAAGGAATTGCGCCCAGTAAATCCTCCCCGGCCAGGATACGAACCCATGACATAGCGCTCACGGAACGCCAGGCGATTGTCTTACCACTACACCACAGAGACTGCTATATGACGTACGAGTGATTGTATGACGGGTCTCATAGGGTGGTTGGGGTCGAGCTCTATGCTATGTTTTAGAAGGATTGGTTCCAATACCGAATCCCAGTGACTGCTATGAAGTATGAAATGTGGGTTTGATTGTCCATAGTGCTAAAATAGATTTTACAGCTGCTATCGACATTGAATCAAAGTCGATAAAACGTCGATAAAGTTAATCCAAATTTGATTCAAGGTCGATAACAATGATTCAACATCGATAACGTTGATTCATCGTCGATATGAATGATTCAACGTCAATAATGTTGATTCAAGGTCGATAACGTTGATTCAACGTCGATAAGAATGATTAAACGTCGATAACGTTGATTCAGTATCGATAACGTTGATTCAACGTTGATAAGAATGATTCAACGTCGATAACGTTGATAAGAATGATTCAACGTCGATAACGTTGATAAGAATGATTCAACGTTGATTCATCTGCGAAAAGAATGATTCAACGTCGATAACGTTGATTCAACGTCAATAATGTTGAGTCAAGGTCGATAAGAATTCAACGTCCATAACGTTGATTCATAGACGATGAGAATTATTCAACGTCGATAATGTTGAGTCAACGTCAATAAGAATGATTCAACGTCGATAACAGTGATTGAATGTTACTTGAGCAACTTTTGCCCATTACGAGAAAGAACGGAAAGAATAATAGGAAGAGAATAGGAGGGAGGTAGAAAAAAACGGGAAAGAGAGAGGGAGGAAAATGAAACGAGAGGGAGGGAGGTAAGAGGTAACGTGAGGGAGGGAGATAGGCAGAGAGAGACAGAGACCCGGGCATCGCTGGGGTGCAGACTTAATACAAGGATAAATGTAAGACGTTGAGAAATGCTGCATACCTATGTCCCATCTTATCATACTCTTCACGCTGACATCAGAATCACATGTTAATATTAAGATCAAATCCTCTCATAGCTTTACGCTAACTTCCGGATCACATTCTCTCAATAACTTAAAGATAGCATCATGATCACATATTAACATCCACATGACTTCCTGTCATCAAGCGTATTCTAACATCAGGATCACATCTCATCAAGCTTACTCTAACATTCGGCTTCACATCCTCTCTGCAGATAGTGATGTTGACCAATGAAGCAAATTTGACCAAATATCCGAACATCCATGAGGTTACCCACGGCCTCCGACACTTCAAACATGAAAATAGAAACATGTTCGAATATCTGAACAACCCAATTGGAGGCTTCGGTGCTTTCAAGTACATTCTTCCAGCCATCGCAAGGGAACTGTACAATGTTCCAGTGGTTAAAGAACTTTATGAGAAGAGGAAAGAGTTTGATCTCATCGTTGTGGATCACGAGTTCAACGAGGTTAGTGCTTCGAGTTAGTCTTATAGAAATGTCAATCAGTCATTCTCTGGTAGAGTACATTGGCAAACAGTGTTGTGTTCCTCCAATGGTATTTTAATCCACTAATAATGTCCTCAGAGCAGAGGACAAAAGACAAGAACTGTCGACTAGTGCATGTCGACTCGTTACATTGTACATTGACAAGTTAATGTAAATGGTTACTATGTATATTGACTAGGTAATGTATATGGCTACGTAGTGCATTGATTACTTAATGAACATGGTTGCGTTGTACATTGACTAGTTAATGTACATTGCTAAGTTGTACATTGATTAGTTAATGAACATGGTTACGTTGTACATTGACTAGGTATTGTACATGGTTACGTTGTACATTGACTAGGCAATGAACATGGTTACGTTGTACATTGACTAGGTATTGTACATGGTTACAACAACTCTGAGCATGCAGACCGCATGCTCGGTCTGCATGCTCGGCCTCTCCATGCATTCCTCACCGGAAGCCTCTGAAACCTACATCCTTAAACATAGGGACAGCAACCTAAGGATTAACCAGTTTGTTAGCCAAACATTGGGCTAGATAACTGTAATTGCCCATCCTCCTCAAGACATCTCGACAGGGTATAAAAGCTGATCGGTCTTTTGTATCTGCTAGTACCAGATCTGATTGAAGTGCTTCGCTGGGCCAAAAGTCGATTGTAATAAAGACGTCATCGACTGGAGTTTTCAGCATCATTATCTAGCTACTCGCCAATAAATCCAAGAGTCCCGAGTTTAGTTCCAGCAGGATAGACAGTGTGGATTAAATTAATTGTATTATATTTTTCAACATAAGGCCATGTTTGACCGGTTTGTTGTAAAAACTCAACTTATTCAGATACAACGAACATAATTAGGGAGATATATACCGCCCTGTCTCACTCGGTTCGTTAATGGGTGGTAATTTCTGTACTGTACTGTTCTCCCCAACTGAGTGGGGAACCTTATTCTCGGTAGGGAACCTTGTCCACTTCGAAGTCTTCTTCGTTATGCAGTCATGTTAATTACTAAAGTAACCACCAGTGAAGAGTGACGAAGACTTCAGAGTGGAGTCTTCAGTTTAGAACCCCGTTCTCTGAAGTCTAATTTGAATTCCATCTGCTTTATGAACCGCAGTTTTATCGATCAATTCACAATATCTTTCTAGGCAGCTTTTTCAACGGCGAGTGTTTATAGATGTATTTGTTGACAACATATACGATATTCTGTTATCTGGCCCCTTCACTACCGAGTGTGTTCTCTGGTACTCGTCCATTCATTTAAACAAATTCCTTTATATTCTAATTCTTTATCGACCATTGACTTCTCAGTTTTGCTTTGAGAATAGTTCAGATTAATTGTATATTAGGGACGACTAAGAGGGGGAGATGGTAGATCCGGTGTTGTGGATACCTTGCTTCTCCGTCTATCATTTCGGCTAATTACGTTAAATGAACCGTGACGGATTTTTATGGGAAAATTTGGGTGATGTATAGTGACCGTCTTATGTTTGTATTTCACTCAGGTTAAGATCATTGTGGCTGCATCTTCAGGTCAGTATGATCTCACTGCAGGTGGTGTACCCGTTCCTGCACGAGGCTGCCTTCATCGTGATCACCACGCCCGGGATTGACTTCCGCCAGAGCGCTGTCCTGGGTAACGTCCTCAACCCGGCCTATGTCGCCAACCACAGGAATGATTACCCACAACCCTTCACCATCTGGCAACGCATTCTCAACACTATCTATCATATAGGATTTGCGTTATACTGGCGGATCTGGGTCGTTGTGCCCCTGGTGCAGAAGGAGGTCAGTTTTGTATATTTTGCAAGACTTTATGATACATGATATGATACTAATGTCTTCGTCTATATATTAATATATGCTGAATGGTGAGTTTAACTCCATATGTTTTATACCGAGTGGTATAATAAATATTGTAAAGTGGAATACCACATGTTTTCTAGTGAGCGAAATACCATATTTTGCATAGTGAGTGGAACACCACATGGTGTATTCTGAGCGAAATACCATATATTGTATAATGAGTGGAACACCACATGATACATGGTGAAACGCCACACGTTTTATGACGAGTGGAACTCCACACGGTGTATGGTGATTCGTCATACGTTTCATTGTGAGTAGAAAACCACATGGTGTAGAGTGAAACGCCGCACGTTTTAAAGTGAGTGGAACACCGTATATTTAATACTAGGTGGAACACTACTTGTTGTTTAGTGGGACGAACACTTCATCTTGTATGGTGAACAGAACACCAAATGTTACTCAATTAACCGACCATTACATACTGTATGGTGAGAGGAAGGCCAAATGTTATATGATGAGAAGAAATCATGTTGCATTTAGAAAGGAACACACCATAGTGAGTGGAATCTAACATTCGATATAGAGAGTGGAACACAACATGATGTATCATACATTATGTTGTGTTCCAATCACCACACAGTTTGTATAGTGAATGGAACACAATATACGGCACGGTGAGTGGAACACAACATACGGTATGGTGAGTGGAACACAACATACTGTATGGTAAGTGAAACATAACACACTGTACGTGAGAGCAACACAACATACTGTATGGTGAGTAGAATACAACATACTGTATGGTGAGTGGAAACCAGCATACTCTATGGTGAGTGGAACACAACATACTGTATTGTGGGAGGAACACAACATACGGTACTGTGAGTAGAAGACAACAAAGGTAAGGTGAGTGGAACACAACGTACTGTATAGTGAGTGGAACACAGCATATGATGCATTGCGAGTGGAATACAACATACGGTATGGTGAGTGTAAAACAACATAATGCATGGTAAGTGGAACGCAACAATCTGAATGGTGAGTGGAACACAGCATACTGTATGGCGAATGACACATTTTTAATTTTCCACTCACTGTACGTGAGTGGAAAATAACATACTGTATAGTGAGTGGAATACAACATACTGTATGGTGAATGGAAACTAATATACTGTATGGCGAGTGGAACACAACATACTCTATGGTGAATGGAACGCAACATATTGCACAGAGATTGGAACACAACATGCTGCATAGTGAGTGGAACACAACATACTACAGTTTTTTATTATTATTATTTTCTACCACAGACGTGGCCATACATTTACAATGCTAACTAGCATATATACATTTTCTTCTGTCCTCCATGGACAGGGTTAGAGATGTGTTAAACATATAACTCAGGGGTTTATGGAACAATCAACCACAGAAGGTGATTCGGTGCTTTTAAAATGCTAAAGCTAACCTACATACGTAAATAAATACACAGATTTACGTATGCCCTATATAAGGTGTTCGATGTGTCTTTTACATAGTGTCATTAATGTGCATTTACAAAGGTGAAATGTAATTCTGATCAGCTTCCATATATACTTTGTACACATACATATACATACACACACACATATACGTACACATACTTATATACATACATATATATACACACACACATGCATTCACATACATATGTTTCTTACTCTGACAGGGTGAGATAGCTGATAGAGAAAGTAGTGTGCAATTAAGCACTTAATCACTGAAGGTGATTAAGGTGCTTTTACAAGCTTAGGTTATATAGTTACATCACATACATACATTGTATAATTGACACATTACATGGTCAATCTTGGGTACAAGTCCAATATATCATCAAGTGTTCCAGTACTCATATAGTAATTTCAGAGTTCAGCATATCTTAGCCCAGGAGGGCGAAAGAGAGTCAGTATGGGACATTCTACAATATAATGTTCAAGAGAGTGCACGTTTTCTTTCACAAAGTTGACAAATTGAGTACTCGACATTTGGGTTTTGAGAAAGCTGCCAGATACGTCTATATCCCAGGCGTATTCTGGCCACTATAACATCACGTTGCCGGGTTCTTGTTCTATTAGTCCCATATGTGAAAGTCTTCTCCCGATATCTATCATAATATTTAATGCTACTACTTTCAGGCCTTTTGAATTTGTTAGGTCAGTGAGATCTTCATTAGATATTTGTTTAAGTATTCTCTTTGTCACTGCTAATGTAACACCCATATAAATTTCTACCACTGATTTTCTACAGGCTGTCTTTGCAAACATATCAGCAGTGTCATGCCTTGAGATACCAACATGTGATGGTATCCATAGGAATTTAATTTCAAATCTGTTTTCTTTATCAGCTAAAACATTAATTCGAATATCGCTGACTATTTTCTGGGTGTCACTACTATGCGTGTTCAATACCAGGAGTGCACTCTGCGAGTCACAGAATACAAGCCTTTGTCTTTTAAAAATTCAGTGGCAAGGTATATGCCTACAAGTTCAGTTTGAGTTGTACTTGCCCAGTCATTGACGCGCTTCATTGCTGTATGTACGAGAGAAGATTGTTCAAATATATTACATGCGCAGCCGGTACATCGTCCACCTTCTCCTACAGAGCCGTCGGTATAGCACTGATACACATCGTTACCCATACTCTGAGTACTCTCAGTGATGCTTTTTAGTGTTAACTGTTTTAATAATGTAAAGTGCACACTATCTTTCTTGGGCGCATTTACAAATCAAATGATAGATCCCAGTTATCCCATAGAGTAATTAGTTGATTAATCATTAATTGAGTTGGGTACATATTTAACATTTTGATGGAGTTGGCTACCTTGTGGAACCAAAATACATAATCAGATTTCGTTCTTCTTCTGTAGACCTCAGGTGAGTGCCGCATATTAGAAAGTTTAGCTTGAAACTTCATATGTTGTCTAGATCTACTCAATGCCTACACGCCGAAAACTGTGCTAATAGACAAAATTTTCTCACTAATGGTAGGTAATTTTAATTCTGCTCTCATATTAACTATTCTCGTGGACATTGGTGCCCCAAGGATGAGACGAATAGCTTCATTTTGCAAGGTTTCAAGAGATTTCAGCTCTTTGTCTGCATACAGTGTGAGATGCAGAGCATTGTAGTCAATCACAGAGCGTATAAATGATACATAAAACAATCTAGCAAGTCTCACGTCAATTCCATGATTGACACCAACAAGGACCCGCAAGGGCTTTAATCTCTCTCAGAGTCTCCTCTCGAGAGAAGAAAGGTACCCAGGGTCGTTAATGAAGACATCAAGGTATCTGTAAGACTCGCAGTTCTCAAGTGCTCGCCCATCTATATGATAATTAGCTGGCGGAATACCACACGGAATGAGGGCACGAGTTTTCTGTACAGAGATAAGGAGGCCACATTCCTCAGCTCTAGTCGCAGAAAGAGCAGAACTTGCATTCTAGGCTCGGAGGCAGCGTGTAAACATATATCATCAGCATAACAAATGACAGTGTCTTCATTATTAGTTGGTAGATCTTTAATAAGTTTATGCATCAGAACGTTGAACAAAAAGGGGCTGAGCACCCCTCCTTGTTTAGTTCCCAGTTCAAAGTGTTTGCTCTCTGTGCTTTTAACGCCATTAAACAAAACATATGCTGTTCGATTAGACAAATAGTCATTTATCCATTTCAGTAATTTTCCTTGTATTCCCAGCTCGGGAATACAGCTGTTCCAGTATGATTTCTCTGTTTGCTGTATCAAAAGCTGCTGCTAGGTCGATGAAGACTGTTTGAGGGGAAGCTTCAACATGTGTGAAGTACTCAGCATAACAGTGTTGTGTACTGAGCCCAGGCATAAATCCAAACAGTTGAGGGTGACAGGTGCCCCTGTATACTATACATGAGTTGGTTAAGAACAATGCATTCAAGCACTTTACAAACACACGATGTAAGTAAGTAATTATCAAAAGAAGGCACCAAACCGGGAAGGCTATGTAGCACCATCAAATGTGCGGGATAATCAGAGGGCGCTAAATATCACCAAGGATGCCAATACGAGAACAGAAACGCATAAGGCGAACGATATCAAAAGTATCCGAGTCACCAAGAATACTATCGAGAGACAAGCGACCGTGGGGGACGGTCGGAAAACAAGACACACGCTCGTCCCGGAAGTCAGGACATTCAACAAGGATATGCACGACCGTAAGAGGGACAATGCAATTAGGACAATAAGGAGCAGGGCGGCGCTCCATCAAGTGACCATGAGTTAAGCGAGTATGGCCAATACGCAACCTCGCCAGAGCCGTTTCCCATCGCCGGTTACGGTGGTAGGAGGACGGCCACGAGGACACACAACTTTTAAGAGTACGTAGTTTGTTACCAGTAACAGACGACCAACAAGCCTGCCAACGGGTAAGGATGGAGGAATGGATAACCGGGTAAAAGTCGGAATAAGGAATACCTTTACGAGAGATGGGACAAGAGCGGACAGCTTCCCTGGCGGCAGCATCCGCACGCTCATTTAAAGAGACACCAATATGGCTGGGAACCCAACAAAACTCAACCGACTTAAATTTACTGTGAACAAGAAACAGCCAATGCTGGATCTCGACAACCACTGGATGAACCGGATTAAAGGACCCGAGAGCCATGAGGGCACTACGAGAGTCAACAACAACTACAAAGGAAGATTGACAACGAGAAAGCAGGAGACGAAGAGCATAGAGAATAGCATAAAGCTCCGCTGTGAAGATGCTAGTCTCCGGAGGTAAGCGACACATATAAGTGTGATCAGGAAAAACAACAGAGTAGCCAACACCGTCCGCAGACTTAGACCCATCGGTGAAGACGGAAACGGAGCGGGAGTGAGAAGAAAAGTGCTCAAGGAAAAGGCGTTTTAGAACCGTAGGAGGGGTAAAAGCTTTAGTGATGCGGGTCAAGGATGTACAAAACTGCGGAAGGGGGA